TCTTAAGAAAGGAAAGAACAAAGGAAATCAGTCAAAAAGAAGCACCAAAAAGGAAGGTTACTTGCTTTGAATGTGGAAAAACAAGACATGTCAAAAATAAATTCCCTACACTTAAAAAGAAGAATAAAGTCAAAAGCAATAAGGACAAACAACCAAAGAAAGTCTATATGGCATGGGATGACAATGAGATAAGTTAATCTTCATATGAATAGAAAGCAAACATGACATTAATGGCTTCACACCATTCTGATGATGAAGAAAACGAGGTTAGTGATTTCAAAATTAATGGTATACCTTCTTACAGTGAATTACAAAATATTTTCCATGAATTAGATGAGGAATGTTTGAATCTTTCTAGAAAATGTTCAAATCAAAAGAAAACCATTTTATCTCTAGAAAATAAGGCTAATGGCATAAAAATGGAATTAGACCAAGCTAAAAGTTCATCATGTAATAAATGTCAATCACTTGAATCTAATATTTTTGAATTAAATCAAGTGATCAAGAAATTTGAAAAATGTCAAATTAGTTGGAAAATGTGCTAAATAAACAATGATTCTCAAATGATAAATCTGGACTTGCGTTCTCCAAATTTGATAAACCAAGTACAAGTCACACTATCTTTGTTATGACTATTTGTAATAAATTCAACAATGTGGAATCAAATAAAGTGCATGTTATAAATCATCCTAAAAGGTCTTATGTTAAAAATAATTCTTATGCCAATAAAAGGAATCATATATTTAGACCTACATGTTTTTATTGTAATACAAAAAGTCATACTCTTAATGTTTGCTACATAAGAAACTATGATATTCCTTATGGTAAGTATGTATGTGTAAAGAAGGGAAACAACCCAAGAAGATCCAAAGAATATTAGGTGCCTAGAAATTACTATTAATTATTTTGTAGGTACTTGAAGATCATATGTTAGTATTGTCAAATCAAGATTGGTCATTCAAGATACAATATCATATGATATGGTAGATCTAAAGTTTTATTGGATTAAAAGATGATTTAAAAAAGATTGACACTTAGATATCAATGTTGACATCAAATAATTGTGAATTAGATAAATATTTTTATATCTAATAGATCGTTTGCCTTATATATTATATTTCTTTGGATTTTACTCTTTTTCTGTTAAAAAAGGGGAGAAGATAGGTGGTTATTTTTGTTGTTTTTTAGGATACCAAAGATATACCATATATTGTAAGATAAAGTAGATATATCCAAGATAGAAGAGATATACAAGATAAGGGAGAAATCAAGTATCAAGCAAAAAAAATCTCATCAATATGTTTTGTCATCATTAAAAATAGAGATTTTGTGAAGAAGATGTTCATCATTTATCTTAGCTTATTTTTGATGAAGACAAAAGCTTATAAATGAAAAACGATCAAAGAAAAAAGATTGGACTCAAGTATCAAAATTACTTAAGCTTTGGAATTCAAAGAGATTTGATCATGTAATAAGGTACCGGTGACAATTTATTTGTGTATATAGTTTAGGTGATAAAACATTATCTTTTCATCTAAATCATTCTTAATATTTTTGCATCAAAATATTTCAAGTTGCATCTTTAACTTATGTAAGTTATATGTATGCCTAAGAAAAGAGGGGGGGGGGGGGGGGGGTGAATTAGGTTCTTAGACACTTTTTCCGGTTTTTTGATGATTCTTGGATTTTACTTTCCTAAGGGCTTCTAGGTGATGAAAGGCAGTAAATGCGGAAAGTAAAGAACACAACAATGTATAGTGGTTCCCCTCACAGTCCGAGAGTACTTCACTCCCCTTTCATCATGAAAGAGTGTTTTACTATCAATGTTAGATTTCCTATCCAAGACAATTCTAACAACCAAGAACACCCTTCTTAGATTTACACAATTTTAAAATCCTACCGAGAATGAATATCTCACACAAGGACCTCTTGTATCCACAATCCGGATAACAAGGAAAACCATACACACTTATCTTTAACAATCCTAAAAATAAGTTGTAGTGAATCTGAATTTTGTATAAGTAACAGTTTGAATGTTTATCAATACGAATACTGATCTTCTTCTCGAAACAAATATTACTCAGATATAATATACAAGTGTTCTTTTTGTGAAAGAAAGCTGTGAAGGTGTGAAAGTTAATTTCAATGGCTTCTTTCAAAAATCTGGTTTGAACACTTTTATGAAAAATCAAAAAAGGTTGAAGACAAAGAGTAATTTTGAAATTTGTTTCTTGAAGGTGATTTTGATTTTGAAATAGAAATCAATTTATAGGAGTGAAAAACCTTTCCAAAAAGGTGTGATTTTGGGACAGCAAAAATTAGCCAGTAAGAAATCTTAGAACAATGCAATCTTTCATGAAAGGCTGCTATTTTTTCTCATTGGTACAGTGTTAATCGGTTAACCAAATAGGTTAATCGGTTAACACCTTTCCAACGTTCAAAATATTTGAATTTTTCATGTGTTAATCGGTTAACCCATATGGTTAATCGGTTAACACTGTTAAAACGTCCCAAAAACATAATTTTGAAATGTGTTAATCGGTTAACCATATGTGTTAATTGATTAACACTGTAGGTTTTTCTAAAAATATTTAATTTAAAAATATAAAGAGTATTTTAAAATGTTTTGAAATACTTAGTGATAATGGTGTAGTGAAGTGTGATTAAAAGAACACTTGTATAAATATTTCTAAGTAAAATATGTTATACCGTTTCTTGAATCATCAACACCACTAGAAGCTTGATAGATGAAGCTTGATCCATAGCGACATATACGACTATCTTGATCTTGATAATTGATTCTTGTTGATTGCTTGCGCCTCTTGCTTTTTGTGAAGTATTCAGAAGAAATGTGCTTATGGTTTTATCTTCAGTATATATACCCCCACGAGTATATTGTATAAGCATCTTCAATACATATACCCCCATGGGTATATAGCATAAGTACCTTGCATGCCAAGCTTGTATGAGTTGTCTTCATCAAAACACAAAGGCCTTTGAAGCTTGATTCTACAACTTAGAGAAATTTCTAATTTTTAAGGAGGTCAATCCATTTACCCCTAGCATTCAATTGATTGACATGCTCTTTGTAAAACGAGAAAATTGAAAAACTAATTGAGTCAATCGATTTACTCATATATGTCAATTGATTGACATAGTATAAATTTTGATATTTTTGAACGTTGGAATTGAGTCAATCGATTAACATCCTAGGCCAATCGATTGACATCCTAAAACATGAAAATTATGAATAAATCATATACCTCTTCATTGCATATGATCATAATACCTTTTCAAATCATTGTAAATTCTCATGATCATTTTCTCAAACATTGTTACTAATTTCTAGAAGTATCTTGTGACTTATAAATAATATTATTTTTCATATTTCAAATAATCTCTTTCGTCATGTTTTTCAAACATTTCTTATTGATTTTCAAGTGTTCGTATAGAATGACTTAGAAACTTTTTACTGCATAAATGTGGGGAATTATTTAGATTAAAATATAATGTTTGAGCACTTAAAGTATATACACAAATGAATTGCTATTGGTACCTTATTACGTGATCAAATCTCTTTGAATTTCAAAGTTTAAGTAATTTTGATAATTGATTTTTATTTTTTTTCTTCTTTGATCTTTCTTTATTTATAAGATTTTTTCTTCATCAAAATTTAGCTAATATTAATGATTAATATTTTCTTCACACTTGTACCGTTGTTGACATCCCTTACCACGTCACAAAAACTCAACGAGACACGCCGCCTGACCGCCGCCATGTCAAGAAGACTTTGATACAAATGAGACGATCCCTTACTCAGACCATCGACTCTGATACCACTGATGGTCATCATGAGCGGAAAGCATCCTTATTAAGTCAAATAAACACCTAAACGAGTGAGAGAGACACTACATATTCACCAAAATTTTAAGATATTGAGTATATGAGCCATCTCACTTGTAAAGTGTTCATTTTCCACGTTTCCAAATAATGTGTGATTTCCAACTCACATTTGTTTCTTAACAATGACAATGTTATGTTGGATGTGCTGCTAAACTAGATGATATAAGATTAAAAGTGATAATATTAGAAAGAATGTTAGAGATAACAACTATAATATAACAGATTGTAAAGAATAAACTTAAGTGATTTAATGAATTCTACGAGGACAGTAGATTAAATTGAGTGTATTCAAATAATTAAAGGTAGAAAAATATTTAAAAACTATAAGAAAAATTAATAAAAAAATATTGAGATTAACGAAATCGATAAAAACATGAGTTTTGATATGAAATTATGGTGTAATTGAATCTTTGTAGTTAGTTCTACTTAGTGGAATAAGATCTAATTTTGTTATAGAATACAAAATCATTTCAACTAAAAAAATCATATAAAACTATATATTAAATTAATGTAATTCATTTAATTTAATATTATTTATTCAACCAATAAAACCAATTGATTTAATTTTTATTTATATCATTTTAATTTTAATTTTAAAAATAATAGAATATAATTCACTTTTATTAAATAAATTGTCTTGATATACCCTTAATTTGTTATTGCAACAAAACTCTAAGAAGTGGAAGTGCACATCTAAATTTATATTTAAAATTGTTTTATTTGTACCATTGAATACATAACTAATATGCTTAGTTAGTACAAGGAACATCACTTAAGTTTTGTTCTTAATTTAACAAATACTCTTTGAATCTCATAAACAAGTTATCTCACCAAAATTTAGCACTAACTCTCAAATGAATCTTTTGCATGTCTCACTCAAAATGTGTGAAGACATGTTTGGTGTCTCACATATTCCACAAGAATCCCTTTACCACCATAAAAATCCAATCAGCACCACTAGAATATATTATGTGGTGCATATTCACTTATTTATATTGCAACATAATCCAAACCATACATGTCTTATTTCTATGATATAAACATCAAAGTGTTAATGTCTACAAATTTTCTTATCTCATTATTGTTGTTGCCACTCTATGGCCTCCTTAATGCTTAGTGGTGCTGAAAATACAAAGCTGATTAATAGCATAGTTCCCTCTGGATTAGGTTCTGTGAGTCTTAACTTTCACAAAAAGTGCTTCTTTAAAAAAAATGCAGTTTCATATGGTAACAAACACAGGTCAACAAACTTGACACTGCGATGCAGCAGCGTTTCATCGACAAGGCCTTCTTCTCAGCCTAGATTCATCCAACACAAGAAAGAAGCATTTTGGTTTTACAGGTTTTTGTCTATTGTGTATGATCATATAATAAATCCAGGTCATTGGACTGAAGACATGAGAGATGAAGCACTTGAGCCTGCTGATCTTAACGACCGGAGAATGCGAGTTGTGGATGTTGGGGGAGGAACTGGATTCACTACTCTTGGTATAGTGAAACATGTTGATGCTAAAAATGTTACAATTCTTGATCAGTCTCCTCATCAATTGGCTAAGACTAAGCAGAAGGAAGCATTGAAAGAATGTAAGATAGTTGAAGGTGATGCAGAAGAGCTTCCGTTTCCAACTGATTATGCCGACCGATATGTTTCTGCTGGAAGGTATTGTGTTGAACACATGTTTTTGTCTTTATGTTTCCTGCAAATTGTGCTATCTGTCTCGTGATGTATGATGTAACACAAGATTATATGTTGTTCAGTATTGAATACTGGCCGGATCCGCAGCGTGGCATTAAGGAAGCATACAGAGTGCTAAAAATTGGAGGCAAAGCATGCATTATAGGTCCTGTATACCCAACTTTTTGGTTGTCTCAGTTCTTTGCAGACATGTGGATGCTCTTCCCTAAGGAGGAAGAGTATATTGAATGGTTTAAAAAGGCTGGTTTCAAAGATATCAAGCTTAAAAGGATAGGTCCAAAATGGTATCGTGGTGTACGGCGGCACGGCCTAATCATGGGTTGTTCTGTTACTGGTGTCAAGCCTTTATCAGGTGACTCTCCCCTTGAGGTACTATCTCCACGCCCTTCTCAAGTTCTTGAGATATCAAAATTTATCAAACACTAAGTTTTTCATTATATGATGTAGCTTGGTCCTAAGGTAGAGGATGTAGAGAAGCCTGTAAATCCGTTGGTGTTTCTCTCAAGGCTCATTATTGGTGCAATTGCAGCCACTTACTATGTACTAGTTCCAATTTACATGTGGATCAAGGACCGAATTGTTCCAAAGGGCGAGCCTATTTAATCAAAGATTGGAGAATCAAGTGAACTTAGGGTAGGGAATGGTGGTCAAGTTTTGATGGTTGAAATTCTCAAGGCTTAATTTGTTGAAATATTCTGTTATTCTAATAGTAAACTAAGTCTAGTGAGAGTTTAATACCTGCAACAAAGAGATGCTTATAAAACTGTTTTTTTCACCATTTTAAGTACTAGTTAATATTTTTTATTTCAAACCAATCACTGTTATATAAAGCCAACAAGGTGGGAAAACACAGGCAGAAAAGTAAGATGTATTGAAGGGAGGAAGCACCAGCAAACAGAAAAAGAAAGTGGCCAAGGTGCAATGCAGTACAGAGGCTTCTTTCTATAACAGTTTGGGAAAATGTGTGTGACTTGATAGATTACTGAATAACCTTTTTCTGCACAGCAATTCATCCATACACACTATCTTCGCTTGATTCTTTGAAATATAAATGATACATATATTTTTGTCACTTATCACAACAATACAAATCATTAAAATAAATGCCATCCTTAGTTTCCAGCAACTCAACCTCATGCTTTGCCAGTTACTCGCTGGGCAATCCAACCCAGACCATCATAAAGGCCTTCTCCTGAGAGGGCGCTGCAAGCTTGTATATGCCAATCATGATCCTTGATGCTGTGAAGAGAAAGTGCATCAGTAATCTCAGCAGGAGTCATAGCATCTTTGATATCTTGTTTATTAGCAAAGACAAGGATGACAGAATGCTGCAAATCTTCATGACTCAGCAGCCTAAAGAGTTCATCCTTCATTATAGAGATTCTGGCTCTATCACTGCTGTCTATCACTGCAATTACGGCATGAGTTCCTCGGTAATACGTTGCCCATGATGTCCGGAGTCTTTCTTGTCCGCCAAGATCCCATACCTGAAAAGAATGATAAATTTGTGTGAGTAATATGTCATCATGCCCAATAGCCGAGCTTGAAAAATTCCTTACATATGTAGTTTAAAACCAGATAGATACACAGATTATCATCAAAAGAATCAAAACTAACCCCTTCACTAAGATATAATGAAAATTAGCAACAAAGAAAAAGTTAATTCTAAAAGGTCAAGTGTTTGTTTATATAAACTTTGATAGAATTAAATTATAAAATATTAAGTTTTAAAAAAATGGTTTCTAAATAATATTTTAAAATTAGATTTAGAAGAATTGAGTTTACATAGATAATAAAATAGAATCATTATTGAAGTGTAAACACAGAAAAGTTAGCGCAAGGCTTACACCTAAAGCCACTTCTATTTTACAAAATATAAAAAATTGCATCGCTAGAAAACAACTCTATTCACCACAAGATTGATATGTGCAAGCCAAAAATTTAGCCATGTGTGATGCATAACTGTGCACCTCCCAATTTTTGTTGGCAGCACTGTTTGAGGTAAAAAGTGAAAACAGACAAGCACTAAGAATGTCTGCCCTCTTCAAAATAGGTAGACTCAAATCACACTCTTGTGCTTTTTAAAAAACATTTATCATCCCTAAGATAATTCAAAAGGTAACAACGTTCAGACCGAATCACCCAAGCATTTGGAAAAATTGAATGCCAAAACCATGGTTAGAGTTGTAGAGAATATAGGACAACCTGTAGTCAAGCATCTCACAAGAGATACAGAAGAAGTAAAATTGTCCAGGACAAATTTGAGTTAGGTCGTATAATCTGAATATTAAGGATGAAAGTATTTATACAGAAGCTGAAGCTGATAGAAATAGAACAGCTCTTTATGTTATGAATAACTGTTTTAACTAAATGTAAAACTGACATAACATATTATGAATGATACCTTATGCTTTAGGAAAGAGATTATCTTATTTAGCCGCAGAGAAAAATTGTATTTGCAATTTATTAGCTTCTTTATTCCTGATGTACAAAAAGGATATAGTTTCTTTCTCGGTTGTAAAAAAGGATATACTTACGTGTAGTGTTACCTTTGAAGATGCTTCTTCACTTCATCAGTAACACAACAATTTGTCTCTCATCTATTTCCCATTTCTCCTTCTATTCCATTTGTTATTACAAGATATGACCGAGTTGGTATTCATTGTCTCGGGCAATATTTGTTTCAATGTTTTCAGACCAAAGACTTGGGGCATTTTGAAACATTTTTTAAAATTTAAGTTGCATCCTGAAGTTGAAGTTTTAAGACCGATATTTGTTATTACAAGACATGACCGTGTTATTATTGAATCGTAAAGAATAACTCAAGAGCTCTACAGTGGTGGAAAATGGTAAGAAAAAGGATAAACCAGAGTTTCTAGAATTCCTAACCAGAGCACTGTGCTCCTACCCGAGAGGGACTCTGCTAACAAACTCAACCATAATTCTGAATGCCTCTCACTAGGCTCTCCCTCCTTCAAATAACCAACTCTCCTAGAATCACGAAGAATATTCTAACTAACTCTCCTTGGGACATCTGTGTCATAAGGCCTAGGTGTCCTATCATAAGCCATACTAATAATGTTGCATATTGGTCTACATGTCCTAATAATCCACGGTCGCCTTTGATAATTGTGTTCTTGTTGAAAGGACTCTTATTTCATGGGGAAAAAAAGCACAATGTTGTTCTTAGATCTAGGGAAGAAGCGTAAAATTAGGGCTATCGCTCTTACTGTATTTGGATGAAACAATTCCTGAGTTATAAGTATGTAAATTGGAGCCCACGGGTCTCCTTTGCAATAGCCAACAGCCTTGCTTATTGCATACAATCCTGTCTTCCGTGCCAGCTACAAGAAAGTAAATTGGGTGACCTATGTCTGATCTGGCCTTTCTTTGGGTCAGATCAATTCTATTTTATCCCGATGTGAGGCTAAGGGACTAGACACTTAGAGAGTGATTGTCATTTTATCTATGAGAAGATTGTCTATGGGGATATTGTTATTTGTTACATCTTTTGTAAATTTTAGTGATCAACTGGTAGATGTTTTCAACAAGTCTATGTGAGGCCAAAGGATATCTTATATTTGTATCAAGCTTGATGAGTGTGGCATTTATACACTGGTTTGAAGGGAACTGTTGAGACATGTTGAAAAACATAAGAGTTAAAGTTCCAGTTTCCAAGTAAGCTTAGATTAATTGTGTGGAGATAGAAATAGTTCAAAGAATCATAGGAATAAAATTATCTTAATTAGTCACCTTGTAAATTGTATTTAAATTTGTTAGAACTCAATAAGCCAATAACAGTTATGGTCCCAAATCATGCTGATGGACTGCATACCTTCTATCAATAAGGTGTTCTCAACCGTCGTCTAACAGGAAAGACAACTTTGGATTGGAACATTATCAGACCCCACTATTCTAGCAAGCAATCAAAATTCATAACCCCAGCAATACAGAGTAGAGGCCGCTCATCTCATGGTAGTCCAAAAAAGTTCGATGGAAAGAACACCTCACAAAAAAAATGTACACATTGTGAACACTTGCTTCTTCAAGCACTAATTTCCTTCTCGTGATTCTAATCATGTTAGTTCTCCTAACAACAAGGGTACAACCAGTACACCATGAAAATCTTAGACTCGGGTATAACAAATGACATATTTTCCTCCTTATCTTTTTTCATCACCTATAACACCATTCCCCTTGTAGCAGTTTTTCTCCCTGAGGCCAATACACCACAACCAAATATAAAGAAAGAATCATTTTTTAAAACTTGACTTATCACGCAAAAATGGGGGTGTTAAGGATATAAATTTGAATAATAAAGATAACATTAACTAATTAAACCTATGGTTCTAATTGCGGTTGTAGTCAAAGTTGCGATTACGCTCCATAACTGCAGTTGCATACCACAATTTAGAACTATTGAAGCATGCAAGAATCAACAACATATAGTACAGTACAATGATGACAAACTAGTTACGGAGCTGACCTCGAATCGTATGTTCTTGTAAACGAGCTCTTCGACGTTGCTGCCAACAGTAGGGTTGGTAGTAACAACCTCACCAAGATGCAATTTATAAAGGGTTGTAGTTTTACCAGCGTTATCCAACCCAACAACAACAATCTTATACTCTTTAGCAGGGAATAACATGAACCAGAATCTCGACATCACTGCCCCCATCTTAGTACTGCTATCTACTTCCTAAATTAATTAATTACACCTGAAGTGAACAATCACACAGCCAAACAAATTAATCAGAAAATATCAGAAATATCATAAATTTCAACATAAATTAAACATTTTTCAACTTGGGTTGGATCGATTTCAAGATTACAGATCGATGAAAAAAGAATGAAGAATGAACACGATCGAACCTGGAAGGAAGCGTTGCTTCGATTACGATTGCAGAAAGAATTGGATCGGAGTTGCTTGCTCGGAGAATTGGATTGGGATGATGAGAATGATTAGCGATTTAGCGATTTGGGGAAAAAATCCAATTTTGATGTGGTTATCGATCGACGGAAGAAAGGAATTATCTACGTCATACCATTATCGTATTGAAATATAGAAAGTAAACCATCGCCCCCAAACTTTTTTCATTAAAAAAAAGATAAACTCTTAATAAATTTTTGTTTTGAACTTTAAACTAGTCTCAATTTTGTGTTATAAAATTTTCAAACAACAAAATTAGTTTTAAAGATAAACATATAATTAGTTATAATATTTTTTCTGTCTCAAATTATAAATTATTTAATCAAAAAAATTGTTTTAAATTATAAATTATTTAAAAAATTTGTTTTAAATTATAAGTTTTTTTTACAATTTTAATATAATATTAATGACATTTTTTTCTAATATATTCTTTAATATTTATTACTATTTTTTAATTTTTTTAATATAATATGTTTTTTAAAATAATTATCAAATAAAATTATTATTTCAAAAAAATTATACTAAGTTTCAAAGAAAAGTCGCCATATAAAATGGTTAATCAAGGTGTCTCAGACCTGATTCGCCATTTCATATAGCGCATGGGTTATTTTTGGGTGCTCTACCCTGCACACTCATATATTTTTTTCAACAATTTTCACCAATAGACTCAAGTCTTCATAATTTTGAAAGCAGTCTAGAATGTCTGCATTTTTAAATTAATGTTCGTCGTCGTCGTCATCATCGGAGGAATCATTTCAAACATTTACTCTAATGAAAAGAAACACCCTAGTTTATTTTTCAGCAACAAAGCCTCCGATGAAGGTGCTACTGTGGAATACACAGACTTTGAAGCATTTGCATAGGAAATTGAACCGCTGGCTAGAATGAGATATTGTTGCAGGTGAAAAGATTAGGAAAATTGAGAGGTTGTTGAGGAGTCAGGAAGAAACGGAGTTACTCGTGATTGGAGAAAAGTGGAAAATGATGTTGATGTCCTTGTGATGATGTTAACACCAAAGAAGTTTACCTTGATGGTTGTGATATCTGTTGTACCCCAAAATTTGACCAACCATTTCTTGTATTTGGCTTATGTTTCTTTGCATTTTCGCATTTTTTCATGTCATAACATTTGTTCTTGAGCCAGAGGATCAAGGTTTTCGTGTGGCTCATGGTTTTCTTTGGTGCGAGAGACCAAACAGCGAGCATCAGAAGCTCCAACATTTATTTTACCCGACGATCGAGCGGCCGATTTTATTTTATTTTGCAGGATATTTTCATATCAAGAGGCAGCGTTCAGGCTATCTCAAGCATTCTCATGGTTGTAGTATTCAAAAGCAAGTTTCAGAGGCTGAGCAGGACTTAGAACGGATGAAAACGAGCAAATGTGCAGATTTCCCTCCAGAAGGCGCAAAAATTCAAAATTTTAAGGTGTTAACCGATTAACCAAGTTAAAATCAGGTCAAATTTGAATTTTTGAAGGTGTTAATCAATTAACTCATATGGTTAACCGATTAACCAAGGCAATTTTAGCTCTGCACGTGAGTTTTTCAAGTGTGCCACTTTGGGGTCCATTTTGGTCACTTGAGAATTTGATTTTACACCAAATGAAGGATCTAGAACCACTTTGAATTTTGATTAGTTTTCAAATTAATTAAAATTCCCTCCAATTTCCCATTCCTAATCCCATTCTAATTTTCACAAACCACACTCCAAACCACATTTGGATCCTAACCAAGAGCATATTTAAATGATTTACTCCAAACCTCACAAGGACAATCCTCGTAATTCCATTTCATTTTTTAGAATTCATACACTTTTGAATTTTGCTCTCAACTTTTCCATCTCCCAAACTCCATTAAAGCTCTTCTCACCTTGAATTCTTTGATTCTCCATTGGAATCATGGAATTCTAGAGCTAAAACCTTCATCTTTCATCCTTATTATCTCCAATTCTCCATTCAAATTTCGTGCTATTGTGGATCTGAATTTTGAAGTTGATCTAGAGGAGCTTAATTGGATAATTCTTGCTTAATTTTGGTGGATCTTCATTTCTACTACAAGAACTCACTTGGATCTTGAAGAATCTCTAGTTTCTTGCTTGGATCTGCTCATTTCAAGTGAATCAACATTCACCAAAGCAAATCTCCGCTTTATAGGTTGGAAATTCTAGATCTGATTCTGTTTTTGAGCTTATGTGCATAATCATCATGTTGATCTTCATTTTTGATTAATTTGGTTGATTTTTGATTCATGTGAGTTGAGATCTTGTTGTTTTAATGTGTTTACATGTTGATTGGATCACTATTTTCTGGTGTTAATTGTGTGCATAATTGATTATGTGATCATCTGGATTATTGGGGAAGTGATTAATTGCTGAAAAGTGCTTTTGAGCTGCTGTTTTCTGCCTCTGGTACAGTGTTAACCGGTTAACCGGTTGCAGTGCAAACTGGTTAATCAATTAACCAGTGCGAATTTTCAAATTTTCAAACATTTTTAACTGGTTAATCGGTTAACCATATGTGTTAACCGATTAACACTGAACCAGAATGTCATATTTGCTGTTTTTGAGCTTGTTTTGGGTATCATTTCACTTTGAATCTTCATGGATCAGTATGATGCATTTGAGAGAGATGTTTTGGATACTGTGTCGTTGTTCTTGATTGCTTAATCATGATTTATTCGACACACGTGTTCGATTTCCACTTGAATGCATACTTTTGTAGTTGTTGTTCAAAGTGATGAGTGTTCATCTTTTTGCTTGCATTTCTTTTTTTGTTTTGCATCCTTTGCTTAGTTTTAAGAGGTTGAGATGTGCTTGTGGTGGTTGCTGCCCCACACTTTTCCTCCCTCTTTTCTTTGTGTCGCATTTCATGTTTGCATCCCTTCTTCCTTTTCATTTTTGATTGATGTATCTTGTGTTTTCTTAGTTCCTTTGTCATGATCCCTTAGGATTCCTAGTCCCTATGGGAGTAGGAGAGACATTAAGTGTTCAATCCAAGCATGCTAACATTAGGGTAGATTTTCCCCCTCTTAATCTCAATCATAGGAGCACATTGCATGATAACATTAGGGTTGAGTTAGTTTCCCCTTAGTCTTGTGTCCTTTCTCCTCATCTCAAAACTTCTTCAAAATATCTAATAAAGGATAATAAGTGTTGTACGCTACGAGCCTTAAGTACTTGGGAAATGATGTTTGGGGGGCCTCCTCTCAAATGTCTAGAGTGTTTAGCGTATGTCCTTTGGATGATATGCGACGCATTCACTCCTAAGTCATAGTCTTTAGTGCAACATGAATTACAAACACAATTCAATTCACTTCTTCATAAAAGACTCAAAAAAAAAATCAAACCTTTTTATCCTTCGGGATTAATTGAAAATCATTTTCATAAAAGAGTGTTGTTAACTCTTGGTTCTACCACAAACAAGTAACGCCTAAGTCTCCAATGGTCAAGCAGCAATACACCTAACTGCTAGAACTAAGGTTTAACCCTACTCGGTTAAAACATTTGGACCAACATGTGGTCGTGTCAGCCCGAACTACGTTTGCTCTGATTTCTCGTACCAGACGAGGATACGTAGGCACAAGACGGCGATGTCTTGGCGAGCAACCTTCCCCCACCTTCACCCGTAGTTTCCCGAACTACGTTGACTCTGACTTTCCCATTGCACGAGGGAATACGTAGGCATAGAGCGGTGATGCTCTTTTGAGTCTCTTTTCTCTTCTTTTGTCCTATGGCCTGTAGTTTAGATAGATTAACACCCTTTAGATAGATAACAAGCGTGAATCCCATCAAGTACGACAGACGTGAGGGGTGCTCATATCTTCCCCTCGCGTAACCGACTCCCAAACCCGAGATTTGGTTGCGATGACCTATCTTTTCCCTTTTTCGTAGGTTTTCTCTGATTGTTTCTTTTCCCTCTCTTTGGGATAAATAACGAACGATGGCGACTCTTCTGTCTTTGTTGGCCCCTCTTCGCAGCATGCGACAATATCCTAGACAAATTGATGCGTTGTGTTGTTTTATGTGGGTTTGTTGTTGTTATTTTTGGATTGTTATTTTGATATTAGATTATGTAGTTGTTATTTTCGAAATGTTGTTGTGATATTAAGTTATGTTTGTTTAATTTATGTTGCTTGTTAATTGTAATCGCTTAATTATGCTTTCAATGGAATGAAATTTGTTATTGATTTAAGGGACATTGATACATTAGAAACTATGATCTTGTGCTTGATCCTATATTGGGGTTTTTTTATATAATTGTGTCCTGGTTGCCGACACGAACTACATAATCTGACAATTTTGTTTACTGAATCCATCTCTTATTGAATGCGCGTATTATTAGGGCGACCCTTTTTCTTTTTTCGCATCAATCATTATGTCAGACAATTTCGCCTTCGTATGGAGGCCAATAGTCATCCTTTGCCACCACTTGAAAGCTACATGTGTAGACATTGCATAGACTTATCACTTGGTGAACAATAGAAAGATAGTTGGTTGGGTCCTGGCGCGCCTTCGAACATGATGCTATAACATGGGAGCAAGGCATACAAAATGCCTGAAACTTTCCACAGTCACACCAACTCCTATCCAGTTCCACTCAGTAACATCTCCCAGGCCTTCCTTCATTGTGATCAATTGACTCGACAACATTGAATCAACCTTTAATACGGTCAAAGATTGTGACCACATGTGTGTTGCCTTTGGCAGCCTCGTCTTTCATGAATTTTGTTGAACTATTATTGTACAGC